AAAATTCTTCAAGTGGAAAGCATTGTCTTCTTTTACCCGATGCAGAAGGAGGGCGTAGATTGCTGATTACAGCAACCAGACTGCCTACCCACACATCCCATTCGCCACTTCCAAAGTTATTTTCCATCTCGTATCCGCAGGGAGGACATGCATCAACTAAAAAGCCTCATTTGATGCCTGCTATGAGCGCCATATGATGTGGAACCATAAGGAATCTTACTCACAGTGTAGGTAGACCGGGTGGTTTATATCTCTATAGCATCACCAAGGCACCAAGACAAGACATGTGAGATATGTGCACTCTGGCTATTTTTATCTACCAGCTGTAAATTACATACAATAGAATATTTCAACGCCATCACTACAACTTCCTTCTCTGTCTCCTCAAAAACCCATCACTCAGCCTCTTGACAACCTTACAAGCACTGGGAGTACCAGGGGTTAAGAACCTGGCAGGTGTATGGGCTCTGGCACGTGGTGGGGCCGGTCCACCCGTTGCCTCCGCACTGTCCCCAGCGAACCTGCTCGGGCTGGGTGGGAGCGGAGGTGGGGGTGGGCTGAGTAGTGCTCGAGGCAGAGGTGGTGCGGGTGACAAGAGTGGTGGTGGGCTGGGCGGGGGTGCTGGTGCTGCTGGAGACGGGGGGAGCACCGGTGGCCTTGGCGGCGAGGACGCTGGAGATGGAGGTCCAGGCGGCCTTCTTGCGGAACTGGGAATCGTAGATGAGGGCATCGCCGGCGCCGTTGAACGTGGAGGGAACCCAAGAGTACTTGTCGGTGAAAGACCAGACGGTGACACCGACGCAGCGGGGCACGTCGAGGCAGGACCCGACGACGTTGGCAAAGTCGTTACCCTGGGTGACCTGGGCCTGGGAGCTGGCGGGGAGGGAGGAGTGGCGGATGTCGAGCTCAGTGTAGGCGACATCGACACCGAGGGCGGTGAAGCGGCGGAGGGTGGTGGCCAGGTTGGCGCGGCTGGGCGTGCTGCCGACGATCAAGTGGCCCTGGAAGCCAACACCGTCAATGGGGGCACCGGCAGCCTGGATGATGCGGACAATCTCGACGGCCCGGTCAGTCTTGGCCTGATTGTACTCGAGGTTGTAGTCGTTATAGTACCTAAAGATTCCCAAGTTAGAAACATAATTTCTAGGTACCGTATTCAGGCAGAATAGGGGATGCTCCACTCACAACTTGGTCTCGGGATCGTGCTTCTTGGCCAGCTCGAAAGAGAGGGGCAGGTAGTCGGTACCGAATACCCGGTAGAAGACACTGTCACGCCATGTGCCGTCGTCGTTGATGGCCTCGTTGACAACGTCCCAGTGACCGCAGACGCCCTTGTAGTGGCCCATGACGTTGGCCATGTGGGTGTCAATGACCGAGGTCAAAGTGGCACGAGTCCAAGACCCGGAAGCGACTGGTTGTGGCTGTTAGCTTCGTCCAAAACACAAATTGGTTTGCAACACTTGACCTACCCCATGAGGGAAGCTGGCTGTGCCAGACAAGAGTGTGGCAGCGGAGGAACTGGGAGTTTCTCTTGGCCTCGTTGGCAGTGATGTCACCCTGGGAATAGGTGAACTGGCCACGGCTGGGCTGAGTGGACTCCCACTTCTGGCCGTTCTCAGGCACAATCTGGCCAAACTCTCTGGTGTCTCTGAGGATGGCAGCGAACTGGGCATCGCTGTTGAGAGCACCCTCACGAAGGGCAGTGCCGAAGTACTGAAGACCGGCACGGACGGCGAGCTCGTGAAGCTGGGCCGAGACGGCGGCGGGCGCAAGAAGCGCGGCAAGGAGAGCCTTGGTGTGCATGGTGGAGACGAGGAGAGGGCGAGTATGTGGAGGTTGACAGCAAGAGACTGGCCTGAGGAGCTCCAGAAACTGTGATATTCGCTGCAGGCGGGTTGAGCCGCTTTATATCTTTAGATTGCTTGGCCAGGCCAGTGCTGCACGCAATATCGGCTTTGGGATATGAGGCTCGCGGGCCACGGTGCCTAGCGCTTGGGGAAGCATTGAGGGCATTTTACCCGGTCGATTCGAGTTGGAACCCGTCTGGGCCATCACGGAGACATGGGGACGACTGTCATGTGCGTTGGCCGATGGCGATGTGGCAGGGACGTTGACATCGGGACGAGGCTCCTCTCAACGGTGGCCAGACCCGGTTTTCTTCGGAAGAGGCTCCGTGTAAGTGCGAATCGGGAAGCCAAGACGTCGAGCGATGTTGCTTGGGCTGGCGACAGGGGCTATTCTTAACGCTCCCCGCAGCGTTAGCGAAGCCCTTAAATCCCGGAATGCAGTGAATGCCTTGGTGTGTTGCCTCTCTCTCTCTCCACGTGCTAATTAGCCTGAATCATGCTGGAAGAATTTCGCTGCGACGTTGCCCCGGTCTTGGTCGGAGTCCAGTACCGGGTCCCGAAGACAAAAACAGCACCACCCCCGAGAGCGAGCACTTCGGAGAGTGACGCGTCGTCGTGCGAGAACGTTCTGGACTGGCGCGACTCGAGGGTGCCATCATGAAACGCGCTTCCTTCAGCGCAGTCGGTCTGTTTGCTCTCGGCCCGGAAACCCTTACCCAGATCGTCAAAAATAAGGTAGCTACCCCGCCATCATCAGACATTGATCAATTGAAATTTTCTATTGTACACACACTATTATTGCACCATTTGCTAACAAGACTTATCAAACAACCACCTTCTTCTCCTTGTGCGAGCACATCTTCCCGTGGCTGGCACCTTCCTCCGCCACCCGCTTCCACCTCCTGAACTCCTGCGTGATCTTTGCGCGACCCCTCAAGTTCGGTGACGTCGTTGCGCGGGCCGGAACTCCCGAGAGGTCGTTGGCGAAGCGGGCGAGGGCGCGGGCGGCAGCTTTGGTGTTGACTGTCAACGCATCCCAGTTGATGTTGTCGAGCGTGTCGCAGGCCTGGTGATAGCACGGATCCCAGGGCTCACCGGCGCCCGTGAACAGCATGGCCGTGGGAATACCCAACTCGACGAAGCCGACGTAGTCCGAGTTGCCGTCCTCAAAACCACCCCGCTCGACCGTCTTGCCCTGGGCGACAAGATATTCTTCCAGCAACTGAGGACCAACGCCGCTGTTCTCGTCGGAGCCAACAGCATAGATGGGCTCGATGGATCCAATCATGTCGTAGTTGAAATAGTACTTGATCTTGTCGGCCTCGGCAGGCGAGAGCTGGGATGTGTAGTACAGCGAGCCGACAAGACCGCTCTCTTCAGCACCCCACCAGGCAAACCTGATCTTGTTCTTGAAGCCCTTGTAGTTCTTGACTGCGCCCATGAGCTCGAGGAGGGCGGCTGTGCCACTGCCATCGTCATTCACACCAGGCCCCTGCTGTACGCTGTCGAGATGCGCACCGAGCATGATGACGCTGTTGGGGTCGCCCTCCTTGGTCTCAGAGATGACATTCCACGTCTCGCGGGTGTCGGCAATGGCATCGACCAACAAGCTCACCACCACATCCTCACCAGCACCGAGGCGGGCAATCCAGGCCTCTGCCGCCTCGAGGGGCACAATGCCGACGGGGACGAGCTGTCCAATGTTCTCAGCACCCAGGGTAGGGGTGGCATAGTTGATACCTGGGGCTTGGTTGTAGAGAATAACCCCCAACGCTCCCTTGGCTCTGGCAAACTTCAACTTGTCCGACACAGCACACACACCTCTCTTAACCAGCGCCAGCTTTCCAGTGGCATCAATGCCATCCCAATCGCTCTCAGCACACATGCTTCCGGCCTCATCGTTGACGGGCGTGTTGATCAAACTGGCCGTGATGCCGCCAGGAAGGGGTGTGGCGGGGTTGTACTGGGGGGATATCACAAACACGTCTTCCCCGTCGGGGCCAGTGACCTTGATCTCGAGCGTCTTGTCGTACGTGTGGTTGAAAGGTTGAATAAAGGTGTTCATCTCGGGGTGGAACCGGCCCTGGGCCCGTTCAACAACAAAGTCTACAGAGGCCTTGTAGCCGGGCTCGCCAAAGGCACGGTTGCCGCCATTGCGGTCGGCAATGTGGTTGAGGTTCCATAAGACGCGCTGCAATCTGTGCGATGTTAGCAAGCTGCCCGAGATTCAGTTGGTAACAGGCGGCACGGGGCCATACTCATCGGTCTTGATATCGGCCTCAAGTCTGTCAGCAGTCAAGGGATCGGTCGCGATGGCCGTCGACGCGAGAAGCAGGGCCGACCCGGCCTGTCTAGAAAGCTTCATGATGGCAGAGAACGGGCCCTTCTGATGAAAGATGTGACATTCGAGGTGATGGGAACATTGTGCAGATCATGGGTTATATCGTGGTTTTCATACGCGTCGTCCCATTGCTACTGAGAATGGCCTATATGTATCCCTGCTATTGCCGCAAAATTGACCTGCCGTATTGGGGGATAGCATATACGAACAGATGTCGCAGCAGAACGAGACATCAAGGTATGGTGATGAGAGTGGAAGCTCGGGTGGTGACGCTGCCAAGACGCAGTGTCACGACGGTTCGGCACCTGCCTCTCTGGGTCGTGATGGTTACATTAGCAGCCACCCGCCAGTTCGCAGTGCTGGAGGGACGCCTGGCAAGTCAGGTGAGGCGGTCAAGGTGATGGGCGACAATCTACTCACCTGCCAAGATTGGGGTAGCTGTGTCGTAATATTGGTGATGACGGCATTCTGCCTGTATTAGGCAATCTACTCGATGCATTGAGATGAATTAAACCACTTTCCATTTCCTCGGTGCGACTTCTGATTGCTTGCACGGACGGTCATTATTTGCGCATTTCTGTATCCATAGTCGCACAAATGACAAACACGGAAATATTAGATGGCCCTTAGCATTTGCAATCCTGTCTCGTCTTTGTCACAGCAACATGGAAATTATCGTGATAGACCCTGGAAAGTTTGATTTGGGTGCTCAGGGATGTCAGCTTGTAAAATCACATACCTCGATCGACTGTTTTGTGTCTGAGACGCCATCAAACTCCGTAGTTCCAAGGTCCAAGCCACCACAAGATTAGTCTAGCTCAAACCTTGATGCCTGCTTTCATTTCCAGTGGCCATACCCATTAAGGCTGCCCAGATAAAAAGTATGCCCAGATGAACAGAGGCGAGAGTAAAAATTAGATGATGCATGTTGAATGCCATTTTCCAGAGCTGTCCACATCTCATGACTCCCATATGCCTGCTGCCAACCTCCCACCACAAGGGCAATCGATCTGGTCAATGGTATTATTTGGGTGTAGACAAACCAGGACTGTCGTCATTTTTTATGCTGTCGGGAGGGATTATCATTGACTTTTTAGAGAACATAAAGGCTAAAGAACGGCAAAGGGTGGTTGATAGAACTTGCATGTGACTGACTGAAGTTATGGTGAGCTAGGCTGTGGTGGGCAACGTGCCAAGAGCCCATGCCTGACCAACCATGCACCGCCAAGGCATGTCAACCTCCTCGCGACGACGAGGCTGCCAAAAGAAACTCAGACAGGCATCTACTCTGGCCTAACAGAAGCTGACTGCTCTCCGGCGGGGCCTGTATGGCGGGGTCGATAGAGGGGTGTGGCTGGACAAGTGTCCAAATGTTTGGCATCACACTTTAGTCGCTATTGTCGTGTTACTTTGGAGAATAAGCAATAATTGCTGGTAAGATTGTGCCTGAGTTGGTTGTTAATGAGAAGTGGATGTCTTGGTGGCTTTCACCTGAACGCTTTTCATTGTCTTTGAATACTTTCCCATTATCTGCTAATGCGTCTTGCTATCTTGAACACGTATTATATATATTTAAAGGCTCTTTCATTGTATCTTGACGCATACTTATTATCTTTTGACAGCCGTTCCAGTTCTTTCAAGTCATGACAAAAATCACCTCAATGCCTATCAGGTATCTGTCAGACCATGAGTCAAGATACAAGAGGTGGCCTTCTGACTGGGCAACTCCTATCGTCTCTTGTCCATGTGTCCCACCACACACCTCAGTTGCTCCTTCCGCATCAGGTCCCAACCTGACCTCTATTCACTTGGCTGTCAGCCGTTTGCAGGTCTTTTGGCCACGAGCCCTCCTCGTTGCGCCTGGCAGCCAGTCGGAGGGCCCGTCAGCGCTGCTCTTTGCGCCCGGCAACCAATCAGATGGCCCAGCCCCGCAGCTTTTTTCACCTGCGTGCCTGCGACAAATTTCCTCTTCCGCATTTGTTACAAATCTTTTCCAGTTGACGGTCCTCGATCCCAATCTCGACTTTTCCACCCCATCCAATAATTCAGCCACACCCTTCACACGACCACCACACTTCAACCTCAACAAGGCCGAGTTGCAAAAGGCGAACAGTTATGGCCGAAGAGGATTGTGATCACAATGGTGCCATTGTAAGTCACAGCCCAGGTTGGCGAGTTGTTCGACTCACTGACACCATTTCGACAGGTCGACCAGCACCGTGCTGCTAGCACCGAGAAGAGCCAAGGCTCAACCATGCCAGAGATATGTCCGTCATCCGGAGTCGATGCATTCAGCGCAGTACCTCCATTCCAAATCGTCCTCGCCGGAGTATGTTGATTTATTAATGGAATTATGATGGCAGCAAGCTCGGAGGGGCTGGCCGAGGGATGCTCCCACATGGTCAGCTGACTTGTTTATCGAGGATGAAGCAGGCGGAGTGGGGCACTGATTGGCGTGTCGTCTGTTCCACTTGGGCATACCAGTTCGCTTTCGTGCTGACGGATGGACAATCATATAGGAAGCTCTTGCCAAGTTGTGAAACCCCCGTGGTGATCACATCGACCGCGATACTGAGGAATTGAGGTCCGAGTTTGCGACATCTGCCACCACCGTGATCAAGGCTTTCGACAAACTCGCGAATCATACCACCCAGAAGCAAGGCACCGACGAGACGCTGTCATCAATGACGACCCTGGTCCAGCAGGTTGGCACCATGGCTACGGCTCAACGTACGATCGAAGGCAAATTCCAACGAGCCGATGACGAATTGAAGGGCATATCAGAGCGGCTTGCCAAAGTTTGCTTGGATGTTACCAATACCTAATGTCGAGTGCAAAAAGAGACCGAAGCTGTTGAAAAGGCGCAGTCGACAGCTTCAACAGCAGCCCTCAAGAACTTAAGCGATGTCAAAGATCTGACCAAGATCCTGGGCGACATAAAAAAGCCTCAGCTAAGAATTTTAATTCCATTTCCAGTCTGGACGGCAAGGTCTCTTGGAAGCTGGGGGATATTAAGATCCGTCAAAACAATTTGGAAGGTCAACTTGCGAATAATCAGCGCGAACAGAAAAGGTTGAAGATGTAGCTGGAAGGAGTCAAGGATAAATATAATGGGTTCAAGCTCTGGGCCAAGGGAGAGGTCACCGATGTCGAGAATCGGGGGAATGGCGACAGCCGGTAGAGTGGGCGTGAGACTGATGTCACACAGTGTTTGGTTAAGAATCGAAAACTGCGCAAAGATCTCGAGGCTCTGCCCCAACAGGTTTCAGATCTGCACCCCGACCTTGATTTGGTAGATGCGAAACGTTCCAGGATTGCATAAACCGAGAAGAATCACACCCTTAACTACGACGCGGACAGACGATGGTTTGACTGGACGGAGAACGGGGAGTTTGTTTAGTTTCGCTTGGGTAGAGTGTGTGTTGGGTGATCACAGCCCATACGGCATCCATTTCTACCTACCAAGACAAATACTACATGGATCAATAGCCCCATTGCTTGCACCAATTTCTCATCAGGTCTCCCGTCACGGCCTTCATGTTCTTCATAGTCTTGCTCCTCCTCATTGTCCTCTCCATCTCCATATCGACATATCCCTGTCCCTCCTTGACCTTCTCGTTCCAAGTCTTGTACGTGTCCAACAGCTTGACACCCGGATTCCGGCTGACATCCTCCGTCGTCGCCGCGCTCTTCTCCAGTTGTTTCACCCACTCCTCAAACGACACAATCTGCTTGATCCTGTCGCCGTAGAAGTCCTTGACTGCCTTGGCCAGCTCACCCCACTGCACCTTCCTAGGATTGATGCCATGGAAATAGCCCCTGATCAGGTCGACCGGCACATCCTCCGTCACACCCGACACCTCCAGCACCATGTGGGCAATCCCCTCAATCGGCACCCAGTCCACCGTCGTCATCTGGCCCAAGCTGTTGGGCAACAGACCCATATACACCGAACTGGCCACCACAGATGGCAGCCACTCCTGCCTGTTCCAGTACCCCTTTTCCGATGACGGCCCCCCAATCTGACCCACCCGGATGATCTCACTCGGCACCCCCGACACCTCCGAAGCCTTTTCCAAAATCAACGAACTGATCAGCTTCGACCGTCCATACCCGCCAGTGGAAATGTCAAAATCCCGCAGCGACTTCTCCGGCACCGGTTCCTTCTTCCTCCAGGCATCCGTCGTGGCGATGGAGGAGATAAACACCACCGGCACCCGCTTGTACGCCTTTCTGCTAAAGTCGGCCAGGTTGCGCACGCCCCGGATGTGCGGCTCGAAAGACTCGGTTGGCATGTTGAAGTTGACGGGCCACTGGTTGTGGATCACGCGGTCGACCTCGCCCAGGAGCCGGTTGTAGGTTTCCATTCCCAAGCCCAAATCGAAGAGGGACATGTCGGCGTGGAGGAACTCGGCTTTGGAGAGGTCGGTTGTGAGCCCACGCTCACGCATGCTCTTGAGCTGGCGTTCTTTGCCGTTGACGGCGCGGTTGAGGCAAATGACCTTTTTGACGCGGGGGCACGAGGCACAAATGCCTAGCATGTAGGACCCGAGAGCGCCTGTTGTGCCGGTGATGACGATGACTTGGTCTTGGTCGGCGGGAGGTGGCTTTTCGGATTGTCCCGAGGGCATATCGCGGGTGTACTTTTCTAGCAGGGCCTCCATGGCGTGTTCCTCATGATCAGGCTCTCCGACGGTGGCGTCCTTGCCCTCCTTGTTGACGACTGACCAGACATAGTCGGAGAGCCTTTTGGCTGTTGGGTTGCCATAGATGACACGAGTGGCCAAGGCGGAGGAGTCCACTGTGACGCCTGCTGCGCTGAGGCCTGCACGCAAGAGACGGGACAAATTAATGACTTGCATTGAGTCCACCCCCACAGAGAAAAAGTCAGTGCCGGGTTCGAGCCTGGGTGCACCGAGTTGGTCGGTAAAGATCTTCAAGATGCACTCGTTGAGGGCGTCCTTGGATGACAGGTCCAACACCGGCGCTTCCCCTGAGCGGACCTCGGTGACATGTTTGTAGATTTGGTCAATTTCGTCGTTGTACATCTTCATTGTGCCAACTCGCTGGATTGTTCCCTTGCCCGCTCGGAGAAAGGGCTTTTTGGGGTTTGACAGAGCCAAAAACTGCCGCCCAATCTGGCCATGTGCCACCGTCTGCTTGTTGGCCTTCACAACCAGGGGCCAGACACTGTCAAGGAACTTTTGCTCGTCGGCGGGATGCTCTGCAGGCTCGAGGATCAGTGCTGGCTGGAACCGCCCGCTGCCTACAACGAGTGCGCCCTTGATCTTGGGATGATTCATCATGGTGGTCTCGATGTCGATGGGATTCAACTTCTCGCCGTTGGAAAACACAATGATATTGTCGCAACGGCCTTGATAGATCCAGTGATCTTTGAGGGTGGGATGAGGCTTGTACAGGTCCTTGGTGCTGTACTCTTTGAGATCGGGAAAGGTGTAAAAGAAGCCCAAGAAGCCAGGCTCTTTTGTTCTGCGGACAATGATCTGCTCGTATGCATCATCGTCGGCTGTCTTGCGCCACTCGCAGCTGAAGAGGTCCGAGTTGATGATGAAATACTGCCAAAGCTTGGGATCAGGCTGCCAGTAGATCAAGAAGGGCGTAAATCTGACGGGTTAACTTCGAAATGCTCTTTTGCTGAAGGGCAAGACTCACTCTGTAGCCGAGATGACGTTGAGTAGTGTCACGCCGTTGTTGACAAGCCTGTCCCCTGGGTCTTTGGCAAGGTTGCCTGGGATCGTTAGCAACCATGACTCTCAAGAGACGCTGGGAGGGTAGGCACTCACCTCCACCAAAGCCGACAAACTCCAGCTTGGCGAGAGCCTCGACAGATTCTGTGTCGTGGCTCAGCTCTTCCAGAACAGCAGGCGGCAAAATGACGGCATCCACCTCGGCGTGATGAAGATACTCCATCACTGAAACAGAACTCAGGGGAACATTTCCAATCCCTAACGCAGCGGGCACATCCCAGTAGTGAATCATGATCATGCTGATATACATGGCGGCAGCATGGTAAAGAGGCACTGCCAATGTGTTAGCGCGTCCTTCCCACATGTCGGATCAGACCCCGCTTACTGGGATGAAGGATCCTGTTGGCTCTCAGTGCCATCTCTTCAATCCACAGTCGTCTCCCCTCCCACTCCCCCAGCTCGTGGATTTTGTCGCCTATCGCCAGCATTCCATGTCTGCAAACAACCGGCTTGGGAAATCCCGTACTCCCACTCGTGTGCAGAACCAGCAAAGGATCCCATTCGGCTTCGTCAAACGTCTTGTTGTAAGGGTAGTGCTCAATGGTTTCTTGGGGGAACCACATGTCGACGGGAAAGGTCATTATGGCGGCCATGTCGCGCTCTTCCAGCCACGGCTGGACCATGTTCTTGAAGGACTGATCAAACCAGATAATGTTGCAGTTGCACTGCTCAAAGAGGTTCAACTGGCCTTCCTGGGAGTTGCGTGGAGAGATGAACAGGGCCTGGTACCCTGCCTTGACGGCGCCGATGGCGAAGATTGGGTATCGAACATCGTTGGGACCAATGTAGGCCACTGTGGGAAAGGAACCGGGTTCTGGCTTTCCGGTGGTACTGACGAGCTTGTGGGCTATGCGGTTGATGGCGTTAGCAGCATCTTTGTATGTGATCTTTTTCCATCCATCCTTTGGGTGAATGGACCGCGGGACCGAAATCCATTCTCTTGTTGGTTCAAATCTCGCCCGTTCGTCGATGATGTTGGGGATAAGGCGCCGGCCAAACTGAGGTGAAGACATCGTGCAGACTTGACACAAGACAGCTATTTCCAATGATGGGATGGGTTGTGTTGCTTGTAGGTGATACGGGAACAGGTGCGCTTTGTCCGCAGGAGATTCTGTCTTTTAAAGAGCCCATGTCACTCTCACTATCATCCCCATCAAGCAAACCGGTTGCGTCGGAACTCAGTCCCTCGCGGCGCGAACCGGATGACAGTTCTCAGTCATTCCCAATGGAGAATTCCGCCATCATATCTGGGTCTCGATGTCTGACCGCTCGTATTGCTGGAGTCAGATGCATCATCATTATATCACTGCTCCGACAACGTCTGATCTTGTTCAGGCATCATCGGTTTTGGGGTGTTGTTCAGGGGCCGATAACAGTTGCCGTAGGCTTCGAAAGAAATGATGAGGCGGGCGAGATTGTCATGAGTTTGGAGCTGTCACAATTGCTCCTCCTGTCTCGGAGGCGGTCAAGGTCGAAACTAGCATCTGCTGGCATATGGGTCCTGCCGGCGCATCAAGCGATGACGACACGCGGAACAGCCCGCTAGCCCACCCGCTTTGAGGGGAGTACGCCTGGGGGCCCAGGTGCACCGATTGTTTCATATCATTCTCGAGAAGCCGCAGCGTTCCGGATGCTGTTTACTCGGAAGCGCGGATGCAGCTGTCTCGCTTGTTCGGTTTTGGAGTGGGCCCCGAAGCTGCCGCCACCGCGAAGGTCGAGGTCGGTGAGGAGTGAAAAAGGCACATTTGGTCTATCATTCAATATGGATAAGCCCGAACCTCGTCTTCCCTGCTCAAGTCGAGCCCCCTATCCAACTGTTCTTGGTGCTTCTGATCCAGGTACTCCAGCAACACATCTTGATACTTGTCCTTACCCTTGTATCTGCTAACATCATCACCCCAAGATCGTACTGCGCTCGCAAGTCGCCCTGGCACATAATCTTCCTCTGCGATCTCGGTGACCGGGTGAAAGTACGTTCTGATGGTAAACACTACCCCTCCCGAGTTGGGCAATCTCCTCAGGGTTTGTCTCTCGGACCGGAAATAATGATGCTGGATCGCCCTATTCTTCTCGGCCGTAGCCCACGACACATTGGGTGCGTCCTCGAGTCCAATCGACCATGACCAACCCAGCTGGTCGTCCACCTGAAAGAAGTAATTGTTGCGAGCCACCATTTCTTGTGGCTTGACACGTCGGAAGAAGTTCATCATGCCCTTTTCCAACTTCTCCTTGTACTGTGGAACATCCCCCGACTGTCTCTTTTGTTAGTTGTGTCTCTTTCTTCAACACCCATCCCGACAAGACAGCTCGAACATACAGTGTGGATTTCGCTCAACCCCATCCCGAACTTGTCCTCCAGTCGCCAGAAGCCTGGCAGCAATGTCGCTCCAGCTAGGAGATAGTAATTCCCGTCCTCCCTCTCAATCATGATGGCCAGATCATCCTGCACAAGCCTGGCAGCCATCTGCATCGGGTCCTCGACCAGCAGACCTTGCTCATCGCCCTGAAAGTCAAAGTCTTCCCCGCTCCAGCGATTTTTCACCCCCTTTTCTGTCTTTTGGTACAAGGATGGATACCGAGCCGGCAGGTACTCCCGAAACTCCTGCAGCAACTCCATCGCGGCAGGGTAGGCCTCGGGGTGCGTCTTGCACGACTTGTCTCCCCTGAGGGCGATGCGCTTTTGCTTCTCGGCGTGGTACTTGGGAAACTGGTTGTCGAGCTCAATCCAGTCCTCGTATTGGGCTTTGCGTAGTCCCATGGTAACGTGATAGACCGGGCCGTAACGGAAGGGTCGGTAAGGGAGAGGCTTGGTGGTTTCGATGGACCAGTCGGGATATGGCTCGGGCGTTGGAAAGCGAAAGGAGGAGGGGACCCAGTGGCCCCATTGTCGTTCGGGTGACTTTTCGAGGGTGGGGGTGGATGCTCGGGGAGGGAGGCCGTCTTGTCGTCGGCGGAGGCGCCAGAGCTGGAAGAGCTTTGTCCATATTAAAAAGCTTACAAGAGTGAGAACAAAATGGATCAGAGAAGGGCCCTCGGAAAGGCGATATGTGAGCGCATCGTAAAACCCCATGTTGGCAAAGAGGTTGCGACAATGCGCAGCACAACGGTGACACAGAACAATCCCGCCTCAACAGGCTTGCTGGGAGCTGGGTAGGCAGCAGGAGATATATCTGCCATCACATCCCTCGCTGGCTGCCTTATCACTTACACCTGCGCGCGCAACTGTTGGTGGCGTACCCCTCTCAAGCTCTTATCAGTGACGCAGCTCTTATCAGGACTTTATCTCCCCATTGGGTAAAAGTGTGCATTCAGCACCCAGCCGATAGGAATGCCCGGTATCACCAATCATTATCGATGGGGCACGCATTATCATTGTTGTGCAAATATTGAATAAGAAGTCCTTGATCTGGACTCAGCATGACTGCGAACAACACCGTGGTGCGGAGCTGGTTCGGCATGCCGGGGTCAGACAAATCGCCAAGCTGAGAGCGACAACGACCAAGTGGAACCTCAAGATGTCTATTTGGACGACATCCCTTGATTACCCAGGTACCTATCAAAAGTTTCTAATCATCCCACGTTCATATCTTCCTCTCCTCTGCACTGGGGAACTTCTTGAACATGTCCATCAACTTGTCAATCGGCGCAGCCATCAACCCTGCCACTGTCTCGTATGGCGGCCTATCAGGTGCTCCAGGGTGCGATTGTGTCGGCACAAAATGCTTTGTCCTGTCAAAACTGGCCGCCATCTTTTGGGAGTCGCCCTCCTCGATGTGCTTCTCCAACAGTGGCAAGTCATCCTGTTCCTCTTCCTTGATGTGCTGTCCCAAGGTTTCCCAGAGCGAGTCAATAGCTGGAATAAAGCTGGGGTCCGAGGCTTCCATTTGCTGAAACTCATAGAGCTTCTCCTTTACCTGTGGAGTTCTTAGCATAGATGAACGTGTATCTAGGCGAGAATAGGCGGCTTACTATCTGATGCTCGCTTCTATCCTTCTCTGCCAGCTTGAGTCCGTCAGGCACATGTTATTCCATGGCTGGGTAGACAACGAGCTCTTCCGCGATCGAGTGTCGGGCCAACTCCCAGACGAACTGATTTTGCCAACGGACCTTCTCATCGTCCGACTTGGCAGACTTGATCTTGTTGTAGTAGGTCTCTAGCTCGCGGTGGTCGTGCTTAATGCGGTCAGAGACTCTGTTTCCTGCGACGGTGGCCATTCTGGCGACGGAGATGAAGGATGGTCTTTGGCTGGAAGATGGAAGCGAGAACACTGCCCTGGTAGATTGTTTAGATAGAAGAGTGGTCGGTGGTCTGATGCACTGGTTGAACATGGTGAAGAAAGTATTAGCGTTGTGTTGAGATGCTGTGCAATGACGGAGTTGGGAAGACAGTCAAGTAGGTAAGACAGGTAGGTATGCGATGGTAAGTTATTAACTGGCTTCGTTGTGGTAAAAGCTATCTTTCTTATGCCTGTGCTACCTTACCCGGCGGATCATTCAATGACGCCTTGATGATGAATGATGGCGGCCATTTCTTTCATGAAGCGACGTCTAGGTGAGCCTTGATTCCCATAATTGCTGGGAACCAATCAAACAGGAATAGCAATACCGTCATAGATTGCAAATTAGCTCTCTTTGAGTGGTCAACTGAGCTCGGAAATCGTATGCGATGTAAATCAATTGTTGAGGATCTAGAAGCTGTCAATCATTGATCGCTGATGCCTTGGCGTCCTAGTCAATGACCTCATCACGCTGTGTTGCCCTCGCATACGCAATCACCGACAGCTACGTATCTACTGAGATGGAACCATAAACTTCCATACATCATCAACATCGCGGCCCTTTGTCAATTTCCTCAAACATCCAACTCAATGCCCACCTCGGACGGCAGTCCCAAGGCACCCTCGCCGTCCTCAGAATATCTCGCATCACGCCGGGTCCAATATCCCGCAGGCTTTGTATCTCTTCGGAAACATTGTGAGCAGTTATGGCCAGGAAATGAACAGTATAGGCGGTCCAGTGGTGAAGAGGCTCGAGTTCCGAAACCTATAGCTGACCTGGTCATCTGCTGAGAGGCTTGTGGTGAACTTCCAGGTTGTCGAAATATGGGAAAGTGTTGGATGCTGTGGGAAGCGAGGGTGGATCTGATCAATCAAAACGGTTGAACTCCACCAATCAGGAGGGGGTCGGTTGCTTGCAGCGCAGGCAGCTGGTTTGAGACCTTGTATATCCCAGCTCGAGGCGTGCCATGCTGGCGTCGCTGGCACGCTGGGAGAGGGCGGTCAAACCTTCGAAACGCCCGGTTCAGATTGGGTGGGACAGGGACGAGAGCGGAGCCGGGACTCGACGTTAAAATAAAGATAGGAAAACAGCGAGGCCTGGCATAGCGTTCAAAAAACGGCAGCGCCATCGGCGCGGGGGCCAAACTTGGCGTCGCGGGTGGCACGGAAAGATCGCGGAAGCTTGGACCACAAGACAACTTGCATCGATTTCGGCCCAGGCTCGAGTTCGGCTTCTTATTCGGGTCGGCCTGTGATTTGTCGGCCCTCTATCCGCGTATCCAAACATCACCACTTCCAACGGCCTCAGGTCGCAGACGGATAAATACCACTGGCACTGCAGGCCTTGCACCGCATGCAAACCAGGCGGGTGCTACCGTGCCATTGACCACAGGTTCTCTGTTATGGGATGATAAACGTGCACCAACGCAGTTTCCCGCAGTGCCCGCCTGCTGCCCGGCGCTCCTGCTGGTTCAGATGAGCCGGCTGGCAGGCTGGCAGTGATCGGCACGGCAAATTGCCCACCCGCAAGGAATTCCACATGGAATCTGGAAGGAGCCATGGGGGGGGCAAGTGAATCGTGAGCAACCTACCTATTTATCAGCCATAGTTCCCACCTGCAGTTTACCGTCTCTCCCCCACAGTACTTGCTTCCAACAGCAAACATGGCACAGACCGGGACGCTGCTGCAGACATTGGCGGCCAAGCTGCCACTTCTGCTATCCACGGCTGGGCTGCTTGTGGCTGTTTTTCTGGCCCAGGTGCTCCTCAAAGGGAACCCACTCGCAAATCTCCCTGTCGCCCTGGATGATCTTCCCAGCGATGAAAAACGACGACAGGCCTTTTTGACGCGGGCCAAGGATGTTTACGCTACCGGGTACAAGAAGGTAGGATACTGCCAGCGAACGACAGGTAACATGGCACCGCAATGCTGACACACGCCTAGTTCAAAGACAGAGTCTTCCGAATCATCACGTCGAACAAGTACCATGTCATCATTGTGCCCCCAAAGTATCTCAATGAGCTCAAGAGTCTTCCCGACGACACAGTCAGCTTTGACGGCGCCATTGAGCAGACCATGCACGCCAAATACACCAAGCTCGAAGTCGGCCACAAGCTCATTCCTCACATCGTCAAGAGCAACTTGACGCCCTCGCTGGTGCGACTAAACCCCACCATTGCCGAAGAAGTCCAAGAATCTTTCCGTCGGGAGATGCCCGAATGCGACGACTGGACTCCTGTCAACATCAACTACAAGCTTCTCCGTATCGTTGCCATGGTGTCAGGCCGCGTCTTTATCGGCCCGGAACTGAGCCGTTCAGAGGAATATGTCGATGCAGCTATCAACTACACCATTGACCTCATGCACGCTCGCCAGGCTGTGGACACCATGCGCCCGTGGCTCCGCCCTTTTCTTGCAAATCGTCTTCCCGAGATCAGGAAGTTGAACGAGCGCCTTGCTCAAGCCGATGCCTTCATTAGACCCATTGTCGCCCATCGCAAAAAGCTCCCAAAGGAGCAGGCCCCTGATGACATGCTGCAGTGGATGCTCGATGGCCAGTCTGAGAAGTTTGGCGGTGAATACAAGACCGAGACCCTTGCCAGAATGCAGCTGGGCATTAGCTTTGCTGCAATTCACACCACCACCATGACCACCACCAACGTGTAGGTTCTTTGGTTTGTCTGACAAGTAAAAGTTGTTTTTCGCTGACAGCTCCATCACAGCTTTTACAACATGGCCGCCTACCCCCAATATGTCTCTGTGCTACGTGATGAAGTCCGAGAGGTCCTCGCACAGAACAATAACACGTTCACGTCGGCTGCTCTTCAAGGCATGAAGAGGCTGGATTCTTTCATCAAGGAAACCATGCGAATCGACCCCGCCGGTTTTGCGGGGTTCCAACGTCGCGTATACAAGCCCTTTACCCTCTCCAACGGCCAAGTGATCCCCGCCGACGTTATAATCGAGGTGCCGGCCCACGCCCTTGCGAAGGACCCCGACGTATTTGAAAGCCCAGACCAGTTCAACCCTTGGCGGTTTTACGACATTCGACAGAAGGCCAGGGAGCAGGGCGCAGTCGAGGAGGCTGCTCAGAACCAGTTCGTCAGCGTCAACCCATTGGTATTGACGTTTGGGTACGGAAGACACGCCTGCCCAGGCCGGTTCTTCGCCGCAAACGAAATCAAAATGATTATCGCCAACACCATCTTGATGTACGATATGAAGCTGATGGACGGGCACACCCAGCGGTACCCCAATCTTGAATTTGGACTTTCGGTGAGTAGCCCATTCCGTTTCAAACAAGCACTGATACTGACCCGATGCAGTCTGTTCCTGATCCCACCAAGGAGCTTCTTTTCAAGCGAATCGAGATTGCTTAGACGTGAGCAGAAGCACACACCCATAGCACGTGTTTTGGGGAAGCATCAGCAGCTACTAGGTAGTAGAAACAAATTAACTGATGCAAGAATCACTCCACAGTTACTTTGGGTAATGAAATTTACAGTCGATGGCCTCCAGATCCAGGGGCCAGAGTACCGGGAGCCAATATTTTGAACACATGACTATGAGCCTTGCCATATCTAGCCCATCAACTCGTCTATGGTGAAATTGTGGCGCCCTGGGCCAAAATTATGAGTTCGAACCAGAACTGTCTAGTTTGTGTGGCGTATTACCACACGAAAAAAGGTCGGCTTGGCCATGCCATGTAGATGCGTATGGACCACCAAGCTGTCTTGCGGCCCATGTCACACGTCAACTCCAGCCCTTGTAACACACCAATCCTCCCTGGGTAAATGCCAATGAACGCCATTCTATAGATGCTACGAGGCACTGTCAGATGCTATACCTGGAGGGGGCCCGTACTCTACCCGATTGCTTTTTCCACTCACTTTGTAATGTTGTGTCACAGTTAACCCAACGGCAGGTCGCGCCACATGTGGGGCGCAGGTCGCCCCTAGCCAATCATTAAGGAAGCCAGGGAACAAGCCAATCAGGCCAGGACAAAAGTGCTATGGCGCCAAGGCTCACGAGCAGTCTGCAGGATGCAAGATGCTAAGGGTGATCAGAGGCATAGCACGACGAGCACGTTGCAGGATGCAATGTGCTAGGGGTGATCGGGGCCATAGCAGGGTGAGCACCTCACGGTCCCAAGGTCTATATATACGGAGGAACTGGCTGGTGTAGATAGACAGTTCCGCAGTATGCAATTCAGCTTGTATTCACGGTATCTAGTGTTTACATTGAGACATCTTGTTGTGCACTGTTTAGCTGCACCGAACCAATTGTCAGAAGTTACCTTCAACCAGTATCCCTTTCAGAGGTTCTGTACAGGGGTTCGTCACATGTTGGCCATTCTTCCAAGACACTTTTTAGTCTTTATCTGCCTAATGCCCCCTGCAAAGGCAAACATGTTGCAGGTTTCTAAGCAACCCGTCTTTCCAGAGCAGACGGGCCACGGCTCTCTGCTGGCCCCGTGTTCTTCCCGGTCAAGGGAAATGTATTGCCGCTTTTGGACTTGGGTGGGGTGTGTAGTGAGGAGCAACACTGCCTCTTCCACCCTACCCCCCTATCAATTTCAGCTTGGAAAAAATGTGTTTAATTTCGAAATGTCCAAATTAACCAGCTTAAATTCGAATACCGAATTTGCAAGTCAAGGTAAGGCCTAGCTGAATCGTTATGTAAACCAACATACTGCTTGTCTTAACGACAGTTCCATTTTATATTTACATACCTACCTAAGCTTCTTTATTACTTCCTATCAACAAATTAGCACTTATGGCGTCATACCTTCCTAGTTCCTTAGTATTAGCTACCGCTTTAGTAGGCTTAGTTACTGTAGTTAAATTATTATGGGAGCTGTCTCGTATAATAAAAAAAAATACGAGTAGTGTATATTGAATAATTATACTAATGAAATTAATACTAGGCTGCGTAGAGCTTTGCGAGATAACAGAATTTTTTACTAAAGCTATAACTTCTGGAAGAAAAAAATCTTAATTGCCGTCTAGGAATAGGACCGTATATTAATACCTAGGAGATGAAGTCCAAATCCCATCTACTTACTATAGTATTTAAGTGCCGACCTCCTTAATATAAAGTTTTACTTATACTAAGATTAATTAAATAACCTAAAGCTTTATTTTAAGTAAATATAGAATAGTCTTAATTATTTACCTATATTAAATATAACTTATATATTTAGCTCGATCTCTAAAAAGTTTTTTATATACTTCCCTAGTAAAAGAACTTAACCCTAAGAAATTTCCGTTTTTTCACGCTTACGTATAACGAACCCCTATCCAGAACCTCTAAAAGGGATATTAGTTAAAGGTAACTTCTAAATAATCCTGGTTCGGTATAGCTAAATAGTGCACAATAAGATATCTCGATATAAACACAAGATACCGTAAATATAAACTTAAATTATATATTACGAAACTATCTATGTACACTAGCCAATTCCTCCGTATATATAGACCGGTTTATTACCATTATTATTAATAATAATATCGATTATTACTTATCGTTTATCAAAAGTTAATAATAATCGTAATTATTACGCTTAGTACTAATAATAATCCGACTTCCCTACTTTTCCGTTCCAGTGGTTGGACGGTCGCGCCCCGCGCTCCTCACTTATGTCACGTCCGTGACACAACCCTGTATAGGTTCTATATTATAGGCCTATCAGGGCTCACCAGCTAACAATATTATATCGTTAATAATTCTAAAGGGTTTTAAAGCTTACTTAAAGATACTTTATTAGTCGAAAAAGCTTATAAAAGATAAGAAATCTACTATAGATGCCCGCTTAAAGCAGATATAGTTAAAGAATATTTATTATATTGTAAAAACCGTTTTTAACGCGCCTATATACCGCCGTAAATCACCGCCTATAACGATCCCCTATTTAGAACCTCTAAAAGGGATACCGGTTAAAGGCAAGCTTTTAGATATTAGATCGGTATAATTAAACCGTATATAATAAAAAAATTTAATATAAATACTAAATACCGTAAATATAAACTATAATTATATATTACGGAACTATTTACGAGCCGTTCAATTCCTCCGTATATATAAACCGTAAATCCCTAAGTACCTTTATACCTAGCTTACTCCCGCTTACCAGTGATTCGTAGTAATCCTCTAACGCTTATTACACTTACCTTGTAAGCGTGGTGATCCGGCTTACCTTTACTAAATAGTAAGCTATATCCTACCCTGCTATCTTATTTCTTACCTCCAATTAGTAAACGTAATTAACTACAGTCTTCTCCTGGCCTTACTATATAGTTGGTTCGTAATACGATAGTATATAGATAATTATAATTTTGGCTTTAAAAATCGGAATAGTAAATATTAAAATATATAAAAAGTTATGCTTTATAATTATTCCGCCGGAGAGCCTGAAAATACGAGCTTAATGTACCGAAGTACCTATATTTTTTATTACCCGTTTTATTTTTAATTTTTGTTTTCTGTCGGCGCTTACATGCTTTAGGTTCATTAGAAGACTGAGGGGTGTGAATGTAGAAGATACGGAGAGAAATCTTCCTCAGTTTTTGGCAGTATATCTTCCGAAATCTACATCGGATTTCCCTGGAAATGACAGTCTGGATGTTCTGCACAGGATATATGTCTTGGCTGCCTTCTTGTCTTGTAGCTCTCTCTGTTTGTGGACCCTTGAAATTTTTGCCACTTTTTCCGTCTTGTCACATTGTCTACCTCTGAAAACATATCTTCCGTATATGTTTTCAAACACTGATAGACATCTAAACCTTACGCACGTTGGGCATGACCCGAAAGATACGAAGTGCAGGTCTTTCATTTTACACTGGCTTCACTAAGGTAGCTTACCCAGTACCCAAACCTCTCGCTTCTCATCCTTGGGGTCCTCTAAACAGTTGCGTAACCGTACGTCTAGTCTCCCATACGCAAAGCAGAGATACATGAATCGTAGGTTTCCAGGGCCCCAACCCAACCACAAGATCAGACTCGACGAGACGCGGGGCATGATTTGATCCTGTTCTTCTTATCCGAACCCTCAAGATTGCTTCTGCTCCAAGGATACTGTTCCGCTCCCAACTGAACTCCCTCTTTTTGGCTACCTGCAAAGGCTCTCTGTACCTATCTAGATGCCTTGCTCCTCGTTGCGCAAGTATATATGTGCAGCTCCTCCTGAGTCGCGGTGGCCGGCATCGTAGCTGTTTCCCTTTGACATCTAGACGCTGAGAGGCAGATCAGCTGCATGGCGGCAACGTCGGTCTCGGCTCCTGGTTGCTGCTTCGGGGCTTGCGCAAAACATCGCTGTCCGATATCTCGAGCAAGCCCTTTCGCTTGGACTTGATACCGTCGGCTATTCTAACACACTCATAAAGAGAATTCCGACACGAAACAAGCCCCCTTCAGCCTGGTTCAGTGAGTCATCAACCTGTCAAGATCGCTGAAACAATGTCCAGTGTTGTTCCCATGGGCCGAGTCGCTACCAGTAAGGCGTCTCCTTGTACCCAGCTAAAGAAGCTTTGATACCGAATTTCCCAGACTGTGTTGCCCAATCGTGCAGCAGGTCAAGCAGATCGGAATCCCTTCGAAAGCTTGCGTGTTTTTTTTCTGTCATCTCGATCGCCAAGTTCACTCTCGATGTGGAAGCCAATGTTCTTGTGATGCTTGATAAGCCTTGGCACCATGCCACCCATGCATCTTCACTCAAATGATCAACTTCCAAGCATCGCAGCCAAGCCTTGCGACAGGAGACTTTTGTTTGCATCATTGAGATTCCCGATAGCAAACACGCCCAGCAGCTTCTAGAAAAGGAAAAGAAAAACAAGGATATCACGTCGTTGGGCTTTAACACCAAGACGGAAAAGAGTACCGATCGCCTGACAAGCCAAAAACAAGGAACTGGAAGCAACCGAATCCAAAAGCTCCTGTGCTGGTGCTCTTGGCCCCCAAGCCTTGGAACTCTTGGAAGATGGAACAACCAAGAAGCTGATGCTCCTCCCAGAACCACTTTGCCAATCCTGCCAAGAGGCGACAAGAAATTTTCCTCATGATAACATCAGACCTGAACCCTTGAGCTGGGATTCTTTTGCGGCCAAGAAGGAGCAAAAATGGGCATCTGTTGCTTAAAAAAGACACGCATCGCGATGATCCGAGAATCCAGTGCTCAAAATGATCCAGAACCAGACAATTGCACCCGTGAAGATGGCAGAGTTGTTTGACAGCCCTGTGGAAAGGCCGAAGATCCGGCATTGTGTTTTGCCGAGAAAAGTGGACCCGGGTTGAAATAGGGGCCCCCTTGCTGGCCACTGTGTCCCCCCACGCAACTGTAAACAAACTGGCACTACTGTGAAAGTCTCGTGAGCGCTACTCCAGCTACTAGTTCATCATGTGCAATTGCCAGCAACCTCTTACCACTTCGCTCGCGTGCTGCCGCGCTCTAATCAGCAGAGGCTCTCTTGATCTCGACAGCCCAAAGAACAACATCCAACGACAGGATCACCAACAGCCAAGACACTCGGCACAGAAATCTGGATGTTGCAGTTCTCCAGCCAAGCCAGCCAAGTGTAGCCAAGCAGAGGCCGAGACTTGGTGAGACGACTGCACACCAATGGGTTCTTGCTACCAAGACTGATCAGACACGAATCCATCTTCTTATCTCGCCTTCTTTCCCCCCAGGTGAGAGCTCTTTGCCCTCGCTGGGGCTGTCACTCTTTTGGTCATTGTCGTTCTCAGATACCACGGGGTTACTCCAGGGACGCGAAGGAAACGATGGTTCCTACGATCCAACTTCATTTGCGGCAGGCCGATGTTTTACTCCCAGGAAGACATACCAGAACCAAGGCTCTTGGCCTACGCATCAAGACCCTTCCTCAAGGGGAGATGGGTATGCGAGGAGCCCCCGCGACCCGCACAAAATGCCGCCGAGTGTCTCCCCATTTCCCGCCGGTAATGGAGTGATTTTCCATTTCTCTCTTCTTTCATTCTTTGAACAAGTGTTGGAGGATATCCCGGGTAAATTGTGAAGCGCAAGTGGGATGATGACACAGCTGGCCTGCGTCTGGGATAGCAAGCTTAACGGTTGCTAGTCGATCCATTTGCGCTATTTCGCTTCCTGCTTGGGTGCCTTTTTTCATAATCTCTTATTTTATCTCTTGGTCCTCCTTCCCCTTCCCTCGCCCTCTTTCCTCTCCTCAAGCATCAACAGTATCAACAACTCGAACTTGCTGGCCAAGCAACGCGACTTCAACATACACCCCCCTCCCCTCCCACAAGGCTTCGGTGCCGCCTAGGCATCCCGTCTTGCTCATCATGCCTGTCCTAAACGTCAGCGAACTCAATATTGTATTGACAATTATTGGTGCTTTCATCTTGGGATTCGGCGTCATCTCGGTCCTCATCAAGAACCGATGGCTTCTCGGCGAAGCTCGTAGGTTTCCCCCAACTATACCAAAAGAGCCATGATGACTGACATCACTCAGTCCCTGCTATGACCCTTGGTATCATTCTTGGTCCACTAGCGGCCAAATTTCTAGACTCTTCGCGATGGGGCTCAGCCGAACCAGGCCAAGTATCTGAGATCACGCTGGTTTGTCTTGCCCTGCATCTCATCACCACTCGTGCCTATCACTAACACTGTGATTCGAGGGCATTACACGAGTGGTTATCGGCGTCCAGCTTGTCATTGCTGGTTTTCAACTGCCGGCCAAGTACCAAAAGCTTCGGTGGAAGGAGATGCTCATGCTCATGCTTCCCGTCATGACAATCATGTGGCTGTGCTCGACTCTCTGCATGATGGCCACCATCCCCAAGGTGACCCTGCTGGCGACCTTGGTTATGGCTGCTTGCATCACCTGTACCGATCCCGTTTTGTCACAAGCCGTTGCCAAGGGCCCCTTTTCCGACAAGTTTGTCGCCAGAGACCTCAGAGAAATCATCTCTTCGGAAGCCGGCGCTAACGATGGCTTTGGTTTTCCGTTTTTGTTGCTGGCGACCTATCTCATGCGGGCCCAGACCCCCGAGGCATCGACACTCGTCGCTCGGGCCGGAGAGGAAGTGGTGAGACATGGCGGAGGAGTAGGCCAGGCGATTGGCAAATGGTTCCTCGAAACATGGCTCTACTTTGTGCTCATGTCGATTGCTATCGGTGTTGTGGTTGGATATGCTGCTGGGAAGGGGCTGAAGTTTGCCTTGCAACGCAAGTGGGTAGACTCTGAGAGTTATGTGCTCTACCCCACTGCGCTCGGTGTAAGTCGTTGGAGCCGTCCGGTTTTGAACTGACCCGTGAGCTAATCAATCTCAGCTGTTCTTGCTTGGTGTCTGTGGCATGATCGGGGGTGACGATTTGCTGGCTTGCTTCACCGCTGGCAGTGTCCTAAACTGGGATGGTGAATACATGTGCGAGACATTGGAACGACATGATGAGGTAAACTCATCCGTTGATGTCCTCCTCAACTTTGGAGGCTTCATGTACCTCGGCACCGTGATCCCATGGAGCGAGTTCCATCAGCCAGACACGACCGGCATCACAGTTCCCCGCCTTATCGCCCTCGGGTTCCTCATCCTTGCCTTCCGCCGCATCCCTGCTATTTTTATCATGTACAAGTTCATGCCGAACGTCATCAAGAACTGGAAGGAGGCCTTGTTTATGGGATACTTTGGCCCCATTGGAATCGGAGCTGCCTTTTACGTCGAACACACCAGGCATCTTTATCCGAAACTCGCCGACGCCGATGAAGAGATGGGTAATTTGCTGAGGGCTATCGGGCCAACGGTGTATTTCCTCGTCTTCTTTTCCATCGTCATTCACGGTCTTTCCATCCCCGCCTTGAACGCAATTTATGGCTGGTACGGTGTCCAGCCAATCCAGGACGATGCCATGCTTTTCGAGCGCAAGTCTATCCGCGTCCCGACCCCCGTCAACGCCGAGGTCGGTGACGATCACACGTTTATCGCCTACAACCGCTTCTCACGCCCCGTTTTCGATGATGCCGAGTTGCCGACATTCGACCGCACCGTTTCCATGGGTCGCAGGTCGATGAGCCGCGTTTCGATGGGCCGCCGATCCATGAGCAGAATCTCTTTGAGCCAATACCCTACCATCAGCAGGGCCCCCACCATCAGTAGAGTGCCTAGCCAGAACCGTGACCGTGACCGGGAAGAGAAAGACGATCCGGCCGATTCAACTGGCACCTCTAGCCTTTCGAGCTCAGCGGAAACCAAGGCGCCCGAGGTTGAGACCCCGTTGACCCCCACTCCCCAACCTGCACAGACAATAGAGACGCCTGGGTTGGGACGTCCAACAACTATAAAGTACGCGGTATAGAGAGTGTGCTTTTTTGCTGGTTTTCCTTCTCTGTTAGACTGTAGATAGTGTCTGGATTAATTAGACGCGGGTTGTACATACTACTTAATATACTGCGGCAGGCCCTCAGTGCGCTGCAACATTTCATCACGATAGTTTTCCCATCAAACCAATGGTTTGGGATAGATTCTCATCTATTAATGACAGAGAACTACGTTGCTATTCCAAGGTATCGCCAGCGTCGCCAGCAAAACTCGCTCTCTTGCCGCGGTTCTACCTCTGTGTCTATCCCAACCTCTCTCCCGTCCCCTCTAGGTACATCCTAGTCGTACACGATCCGCCCGGTCTGAAAAGAAAATCAAAAAGCCACCAAAGATCCTCTCTGCAACTATCCAAAAGAGCGACAAGAGCTTGTCATTAACCACCAAGCCAGAAATCATGAAATCAGAAAATCAATCCCAAAGAATCATCCCTCAAAGAATCATGCCAAACATCCCAAAAGATCATGTCGCTATCCCGCCCAACGTGTCGAACAAGCACTTAGACTCTGTTCTTGGCCTTGGCCGTGGCGGCGGCGGCAGCGGTGCTGCTGGACTGGAGTCCTGGAATGTTGATCTGGCGCTTGTTCTTAGCCTTGGCAGTGGCGGCGGCGGCGGTGGTGCTGCTGGACTGGAGTCCAGGAATGTTGATCTGACGCTTGTTCTTAGCCTTGGCGTTGGAGTCGGAGTCGGCAGCGGCTGTCGCGGAGGCGCCGGCCGAGACGACAACAACACCAGAAGGCAGGGTGACGCCGCTGGGGATGCTAACACCGGAGGGGAGCGAGATGGTGACGGCCGAAACGGTGGTGAAGATGGCGGTCATGGCGACAAAGAACTTCATTTTGACGGTTGGGTTGGTTGTTGGTTGATTAAACGGTTGGGTGATGTGTTTGTTGAGATGTGAAGATTTAGGTTGGGGGGGGGGGTATGTGTCTTTTTTGTTTTTGTTTTTGTGCGTAAACTTTTCTCAAGCGAGCGTGGGTGAGATTAGTGTAAAGGGAGTATTAGTGATGAATGTGAGTGCTGCGTGATGAGAAAAGAAAATGCTGTTCGGGTGTTGGGTGAGGTCGAGTTATATAGAGGAGCTTTCTCCGGCTCAAGCAGATGTTCTGTCCACGATGAGAACGAACACGCCAAACCAACTCTAACCGGCAGCGCGGCTTCGAAGTATTGGGCTTCTAGCACATGCCGCCGAACGTTGCATTAGACAAGCGGGATCAAACTCCGGCGCCGCCACCACCGATGCGTGGTTGGTTTACTTAGTTCTGCATCGGCCGGTTCCAACATGGCGGGTCAACGAAACCGCCGTGAACGGGCCTATACGCTAGAGGCAAACCACTTTCCAAGTGTGTCTCACGAGTCGGATGGTCAGAATCATAAGCATGCTCGGGCTATCGTGGCAAGGGACTGCGTCGTCGGTCTGTCCGGCCCCTGAGTAAAAGAACCACGTGCGGGATCACATGCGAAGTCGAGAACAATTATGGTATCAATTTCAAGCGTGTCGTGAAGACAACACAAATCACAAACCGAGGAATAGATTCTTGAACTGAAACGTTGGATATCCCCCCTTTTGGCTCTCCCCTCAAGCACCCCTTGCCTTGGCCGTCACGTAAAAGTCGATCGGCCGCACGTTGAACCACCCATCCTGCTTCATCACATACTGCTCGTCCACCGCCTGAAAATCAACTTCCTTGATCAGCTTGGCCGTCACCACCACTAGAAACTCCCAAGCCCAGTGTTTGCCGATACATTCTCGTTTGCCATTTCCGAACCACTTCTTGACACCGGCCGGCAGCTTGGTGAAGTTGTCGCCCACCATTCTCTCTGGCTTGAACTTGAGAGGTTCCTCAAACACGGCTGGATCTCTGTTGACTCCAGCCAGAACAACGATCATGGCCTGGTTGTGCGCAATCTGGTACTTGCCGCCTTGAAGCAGAATGGGCGACTTGTCGCCATTCTTGGACGGAATTGGCTCAATGTTGAAGCCCGGAGCCGCGCAGCTCAACCTCAGCGTCTCTCTCACAATCCCCTGGATGTATTTCAACTGGGCGATATGGTCTTGCCTCAGCGCACCGTCTCCAACCACGCGGTCCAACTCCTCTCTGGCCTCGGCCACCACCTCTGGATTCTGCAGCAGAAACAGGATGGTCGCTGTGACTGAACAAGGGGCCGTGGAACTGCCGATCGGCATGCTGACAATCTCATCAATCACCTGGCTGTCGGTCAATTTCTTGCCTGTTTCCGGATCCGTGGCGTTCATCAACGCCCAAAGCAAATCCTTGCGTCCGGTAGAGTGTTCGGCCCGGTATTGGATGAGCTCTGCGGCAAAGCCTCTCATCGTCTTGGTCGCCTCCTTCCACTTGCCGTTGTATAGCAGCCAGTTGAGGAGCTTCGGCCTGTTGGGTCGCCTCATTGCTTCTGAGGTAGCATCCTCCATGGCCTGGATCATGGGATGCTCCTCTCCTTCCTTCATTTTGATGGCTCCCAGCTTCTTGCCAAACAGTGTCAACATTGTCGCCTCCAAGTTCAGGTTGTTGAGGTCTTTGAGAGGTTGGAACTTGGTCCCAGGTTCGAGACCCTTGGTCCACTTGGCGATCAACTCGTCGGTGCACAGCAAGAGCTCGTCGAAATGGTCAGCGACTGATTCCGTGCTCAGGTGTGGCGCGATGATGCGGTGAGCGATACCCCAGGATTCCTCGTGGTCGTATGCGGTAAACAGCGCATCGTGCACGGCGTATCGGATCTCGACGATGGGCCCGCCAACGAATTTGCGGAACCGAGTCTCGTCGCAAATCTCTTCTGCTAGAGCAGCGCTGGCGACAAAGACAATTTCATGCCCCAAGACCTTGATCTTGAAGATCTCGCCATACTTTTCAGCCAGCGTGCGCAAAGACCACCAGGTGTTGCTCGGGTTGACGTCCATGATGTTGCCGAGCAGGGGAAGGCCTGGAGGGCCAGGGATGGTGAGTGGGGAGGACATGGTGTAGGCAGTGTCTGGAGTTTATCGTTGTAGAAGTGAGGGAATGGCGATAGGAGAGGGGGGAGATGTTCTCTTTAAAAGCGTCCAGGAATGAGGTTTTGCGTCATGTCGGTCAAGGGAAAAGACGTGGCTGGCAGGGTGAGACAGCATTTCTCAAGTCCCACCATGGGCACCGTCCGCCATTCCGGTCATGGGGATCATTTGGTGAGTCCAATGAGATTTGCTGTGTGGTGTAAGCCATGTGGGTGCAGCGACCTTTTGGGTGCGCCACTGAGCAAGAGGGAGCTGAGACATGCAGGGATTTCTGGCCCTGGCCAGTGTAGTTAGAGCGGCTTGTCTCGCAGGCGGGTCGTGATCGGCGCTCATCCGACCAATTGCTGGCACATCATTTGTCAATCTCGAGGCGGTTGTCGCGGGATCCTACTATCGATCTACGAAGCTTATTGGCACCTTTCCCAGAGCAGTTTACTGCGTGCGTTGTCACTCTCTTGAGCATAGCTCAGGTTCTGGATAATGTAACAGAAGATGTCGGATAGTGTATTTAATCTCCAAGCCGTAACATCTTCAGCCGTGAAACACTTCCAACATGGTGTCACAGGGTGCAAAGTCTCACGGTGAAAAGAATTGCATAGTTAATGACACACTAATACTTAGCGAATAGTTTGGATAGGTTCCGCATGCAACTTGTACTCGGCAGCAATAAGCCCCTGTCACGGAGTATCTTCGATCGACACATTCGTACTCCTAGTTATGGGTGCTGTCAGCTGCGGCATGAGCCTGCTCGGAGGTCAAAGAGGTCAAGGCAGTTACGGTACCTTCTTATTCCTCTGTCATAATGGCCATATCTGGAGTTATGAGGGATGATAGAAGTTTGGAATGAAATTGTCTGCCAGGACCTCACTTTCATCTAGCAATCACAATGGAATTGTTATGAACCTACTTTGGGATTCTCGAGGTTCAATGTCTATGGCTTTTCCCCTGCAGTACTCCTTATCGATAAGATTGGATCGCTGTGATGGTTGGTTAGCCCTGAGGTTGGCAGAGGAAGGTATGTTGGATTTTACTCGTTCACGTTTCTAGTAGCCTGGGTCTTACACAGTCGCATGTGCACTAGGTAGCTAAGAAGGTCTCAAAGGTAAACGCCAGAGTGCGTGTGAGGATGGTGAGCACTGCTGGCGACGAGGGAGAGATGATGGACGCCACCTTCATTCACTACATGAATATAGAGCATTTCCTCGTGGTCTTTGTCACAACTAGTTTCCTTTACACGACAACTCAAGCTTATGCCAGAGACAAGAGCCTGGTTCAGACGCTCCCCATAGACAGGACGGGGCAAAGAGATAGAAACGAGATGAGTACACCCTGCAAAATCCGTGTTGAACATACCTTATCTGGCTTGATTACGAACAGGGATGGTGTTCAGGCGATGAGGCAGGTTCCTCGGGCATAAATCCTGGTGTGAGGGCGCATATATCCAAGTAGGTAGCCACAAGTTCCTCTCAAAATCGCCGGCTCTCTCTAACGTTAGGTGGATAGTGGCCCGTAACCCGTCCCCGATGTGTCTAACATCAGAGCAGAGATGTTGACATTGCCCCTGAGCCCCTTGTGACACCGGCATTGACACGATGTCAGCAGAGTAGGTACTTAGCCACTGCTGGACCTGGGCATTCATGTGATGTTATGATTTATAGCTTAAACACGTCGCGGGTGGAGGAGCCAAAAATTGACGGGTTGAGCTCATGGGTTCCTGACTCCATTCCAACAAAAAAAGTGATGATGTGGTCATGCTTGGTGCATTCTATTCGATCGAGGTTAGACCTTGTCACCACCCCGCATGTTCTCAACGGATCAAATTCTGAAAGAAAAACAAAACGGTAGGGAGCGTTGAGGGTTTCCCCACCGATGGATTGGCGCTAATCGAACATCGGTTCACGCCGGGTGAGGGGATGAAGGGACCCACGATGTCCAAGACATCCTGACGGAAGCTGAGATCGAAGCTTAGCGCGCGAACGGATGGGGCTCGTGCGTGACATGATTTTTAACAATTAAGAATCACCAAGCATGACTCGTATTGGACTGAGGAGGAAGCAAGGGAGGGAAGAGAACGACAAGCGATATGCCTGGCATCAGACAATGCCAAATGAGGGTGTGGGGGATCTGATAAATGACAAGTTGTCGACCCTCCAAGCGAATGACAGGCGTCTGCGCTGGGCCGAGTTCGGACCTTTTTGTGTTCTTGTGCAGGAGATAGGGCGGCATTTGCAGAGTATTGAAAGAAAAAGAAGAAAAAGAAACTGACATGACATATGTCCCAAGATTAGATGCTGAGAGGATGCAAGTGAGTACATATGGTCGCCGACTACCACCCAAAATGAATATGCATGTCTCACAAAACCCAAGTTCTGGCCACCATTCACATCTCCCCCAGATGCATTGTGGCTTGGCGAGTTCCGATGCATTTCGGTGGTGGATAGCTCGGATTGGTGCGGTCTCATCCACACATCCTGGCATGCATGCCCGTGCAGCAGGGCTGGCCCCTCTCTGTTGCAATTGGTGACGGCACTCGGAATCCACAAGCCCACGATCCTGCTCGTTCTTTTTCTCCATCTCAGCCTGGACCCGCGGTTGTCTGTTTCATGGCATGCTTGGCAGATGGCGAGTCTGTGCAGAGAAGCTATGTATGTACATAGGAGTGATAGCTCCTGATCTCCTGGTTGACCCGACCCATTGGGACCACCTCTCTTCCATCCTGCGGGCGCCCGGGTCCGTTGTCCTTGTTGATCACTCAAAGCCAGCCAGTTCCTCAACTCCAATGTCGACCTAATCTCAAGTCGCGCAGCTGCTATGTCGCCTGCCATGGACTCGGCAGCCTACGATGCTGGCTTGGCTCAGTACATCGGCCACCCGGTGCCGTATCAGTTTGATCCCGCCCTCCTCACACTCAGCTATGCTGTCAGTCTCGTCGGCGCCGCCTCGACCCTCGAGCTCATCAACCGACGGACCTCGAGAAAGGGGTACTACAACAAGTACGGGGTCCCGTCGCCAGACCGTTGCGCCTGTGATTGCTGACGGAAACACACAGTCTGTTGCTGCTAGCCGCCTCGGTGACCATGGGCGGCGTTTCCATCTGGTGCATGGTATGTTATCTTCTGAGCGCCATTTCGATCAAGTCTTTTTTACTTACGTTGTGGTAGCATTACATTGGCAATCGTGCAACAAGTCTGCTCAACGGGCAGCCCGAGCTTCAGGTTGTCTATTCGGTCCGCGTTACGGTAGCCTCCTTTTTCGTACCCATCCTCGTCTTGTGCGCCGCCTTTTTTGTCGTGACCAGCACCCGAAATGCCAGTGGCGTCAACTGGTGGCGCATCGGGGTATCTGGCATGTTGTCAGGGGGAGCCATTTGCGGCATGCACTACCTCGGCAACGCCTCCATCAGCAACTATCACTGCAGCTACCGCCCTGCCAACGTGGTTGGGTCTGCCCTCATTGCTGTTGCGGCCAGCACCGTTGCGCTCGCGCTGTTTTTTGTGTTTAGGGCATCTTGGACCAACTCCTGGTGGAAGAGAACTGGATGTGCCATCGTCTTGGCTGGCGCCGTCTCGGGCATGCATTGGTGCGGTGCTGTTGGGACCACATACCGACTGATGCACCTCCACTCGAGCAGTGAGATGGATACGAGAAATGTCACGGTTATTGTGATTTCATGTCTGGTGAGTGAGGAAAAGGTACAAGTAACCCTGCATTACTGACGACGAACAGTCAGTTGCTGCCTGTGCTGTCATGGCAGGGACGGCCATCTACTCGGCGCGAGTGCGCCAAAGCTACGCCAGCAAGGCCCAAAGAATCACTCTCGCCGCTGCTGTGTTCGATCATCAAGGCCGAATCCTCGTTTCCCCTGATGGAGCTCTGCCCAGTGAGGAGATTACCAGCAAGTTTCTCCAAAAGGTGTGTCTCTGCTGTCCGACTGTTGATCTGAGCGCCCTCGCTGACCGGGCGTGATAGACCCAAAACGACGTCTTCTCTACCGCACACCCCCTTTTCCACTGGGTCTTCCAGGCGTCGAGGAATTGGTCCAGCGTGACTGTGCTGCTGGGAAAGATGAAAAACCACCTGGCCGAGCTTCCGCATCGTGGTCGCAATGTGCGAACAGGCATCTCTCTGGTCGATGACGATGGCCATGTGATTGACAACTACAACGTGATCTTCCGCGAGTTGTTCTGCTTGGCTGCCGCCGGGCTTGCTGACAAGATGAACGAGAACTTGACAGACGCTGGTATTCTCTGGGATGAGATCTTGTCGACCGGTGGCCAACCGGATGCTGTGTCACTTCGCTCAAACTCGACGGGCAAAACGCAGGGGCCGGTCCCTATCACGTCACGAGATGCTGACATGGCTGAGAAGGGAGTTACGATTCACCGCCACAACCACGGCTCGCTCATGTGCTTGGTACGTGCTGTCGACAACCCTCGAGTCATGGACCGACTCGAGGCCTCTGGGTATTGCTTCGCCGACCCTCATCAAGTTGCCCACATCATCGGCACCAAGATGCAGATTCGAACCGCACATCTGGAACAGAAGCTGGCGAACATGAGGGATTATGCTCACGGTACAATGCTTGATCCCGGCGTCCATGTTGGCTTGTTTGCTGTTCGCACGCAAGTCGACAGCCACCACGGCCACGGTTTCGATCTTCTTGTGCAAAAACAGGCTCGAAATCTGCTTCCTAGCGTGGAAATGCCGCTCGACCGCCTTGAGCCGTCTCATTTGGAATTCCTGCGCCAGCTCCACGGCCATTCGGTCCAAGCTATCCTCCAACGGCTCCGGCGCGTCCAAGACATTGCACCACGCAACGCCGCTTTCGCCGCTCTTCTCAGCGACGCTGTTCGGGGTCTGCGTAGTGCCACCAACGACAAGATTTTGGACGATGCCAAACTCATTTCTCGGGTGGCCCAAGTACCTTGCCGATCGCCAGCGGGCTCCATGGCCACGAGGTTGGCGACATGCTCGATGATCACCTTTAGCATCATGATCCCAATCCACATCAAGGTCAAAGTTCCAGACCATGCGTTTGTCCCCTTGTACTTTTTCAAAACCCAGCAGCTCGTGTACGCCAACTCGCCACACGCGGCCGCTTTTGCCCGGAATGTGCACCGGGAGCTGAGCCCCGTCTTGAACTCTGCCTCGACCGCCCCCTCGAAGTCCCTCTCCTCCCAGCTACCCTTCACGATGTTCTCTCGCTTCAGGCGCCACAGAAGACCGTCGTTGGAGACGCGACAAGTGCGAGCCAGCAAGCTCGTTTCTTCCAGCCGGGAATGCATGGCCCCTGCTACTCCATCCAACAACCCGAGCGTTGTGTCGTTGGGTTTGTACCGCGGCGCATCGTCCACCAACGGACAAGACCCGGATACAGATCAGCTCTCAGACTCGACACTTGCCCCGGAAAGACCTCAGCATCGCCAACGCCCGACGTACGACCAGCAGCGAGCCACCGGTCCAAAACTAAACGTTCAGCCCAACAACGGGAAGCAACACAAGCACAACAAGTCGTTTGGTGGAATGGGCATCATGATTTCGCAGGAGGTGACTGTCGATGTAGATGCTACCACCACCGCTGTCGGACCCAAATCGCCCGCTGTGGCTCTTGCCGCCGAAGAGGTCGAAATGGTCGATGAGACCAAGAGGATCCACGAAGCCGATGAGAATCCCACCCCGGCATCACCACAAATTCCTGGGAGAAAGAATGGAACCTTTGTTCAGGAAATCGAGTTGGAGAACGTGACGAGCGTCTTGAACTTGAACGGAGGTACAGGCTTCTCCACCGCCAGGGTGGAGGTGAAGAAGGATGGAGACGCAGCCGAAACGCAGACGTTTGTGGATGAGTTGTTTTCCGACTGTTTAGCCCTGGCAAAGTATTGAGCGGCTGGTCATGACCAAAAGGTGACGGTGTAGGATTATGATACCCCTCTTGTGCGTATGTTTTCATCGGGTCATGGTTGTGTTTTGGCGAGCATCCAGAAAGTGCTGCCCTGTACATGTTAATGATGGAATATGCGGAACCATGTAATAGTATATAGTAATGAATATTGCTTGAAATCACACTTTGTTGATGAGCAGTGAGGCAACACCACTTGAAGCGAGCAAAAAAGGTTGATTACATTACTGATGCGAAGAAAAAGGGATATTATAAAAGCCTATATCCACTGTCCACTCTCACCCCTCGTTCCGCTCAGCGTGTTCATCATAGCCGGGGCAGTGTAGCCCGCAATGCCATTGTTCATGGTAGCATCCATATCACTGAGATGAGGTTGTTGGTAGCCAAACTGCAGCTGGGCGGGATCAATGTGTATTGTTCCGTGGACATTGGGGTCCGCACCACACGGAAAGAAGCCGGAAGCAGGATCGTTGGCGGCGATGTCGCTGAGGTTAGCAGGGAAGTAGACGAATCCAGGGGTTGTGTCCACCGAGGATGTAGATGTTGGGAATGGCAGGCTTGTGGCATAGTTTGCATCAAACCCACCCCATCTGCTTTCGGGTTGTACACAGTCGATGGGCGCATTTGGCTGCAACCGCTGTTGTGAAGGAGGACATGTAGCGCCAAGTTGAGATCGAACACGAATTGTGGGCGGCTTTGGCTCTTTGATACTGGCAAAACCTGAAGACAGTGATCGGTCTTGTTGCCCTTGCCGTGTCGTCTCCAAAGCCACGGAAGGGTATCTTGCGGAAGTCCTTGGTGTCGCTGTCTCAGAAGAATCAAGCCCAATGCCAGAGTCACGGTCATGTACGTTACTCCAAAGCACACGTGCCATCGATCTCGAAATGCGGTTGTTGGTTCGGCTTCCTTGCCTATTGACGTAGTCCATCTTCAAAGCCAATGTGGGTAAGATCGTGAACAGCCGACTCAAACAAGGACTTGATGATGACGCAAAGACCCTCAAACTGCTCCTCGTCAGGAACATAGGACTGGACGACAGGCTTGAGGTACTCGAGCTTTTGAACAAAGGCGGGCTCCAATTCATGGTGTTCGAGAACTGGAACAAAGTGGAACGGTTCAATCTTGTTGTCGGGGTCTTCAGGGAAGGCAAGCTGCCAGAGATGCTTCCACTGATCTTCATCCGATGGACCACAATCTCGGCCCCTGAACCTGATCCGGGAGGCTGTCTCGCTATTGATTCCGTCCTCTGGGTCTGAGCGCTTGTAGTTGCAGGGTTCTCGTTCGCAGTGCAGCTCAAGCGCATTTCGAGAGGGAAAACCCTTTTGCATCGCTGGCATGTCACAATCTCCGAGTCAGCCATGTGTTTGTTGAGAATGTGTTTCCTGGGCCAGTTTTAGTAATACTCCAGGTTGGTATTTCGGGGGTTCAGGGGTTCAGGGGCTCTGGGTTAGTTACCTGAGGTCGGAAAATTTGGTGAACATGGTCATGGCGCACGAGGTATGGTCCCTGACATTAAACCGAGAAGGATTGCGGGCACGGAAGATACACCGTAGCTTTGAGGCAGTCGAATTGTGCTCCTCTCCAGAGTCCCTTGGGTCTCCCATGATGCTTCCAGACTCCTCTTCGTCATCCTGGTCATTTTCCTCGTCGCTAAGTCTTCTCTTTTTGTTCGCTTTTGGTTTTTCCTTCCCCTTTCCTGTGGACTTGTCGATTTGAGATGATGATGGGCGTTGCGGCAGAGTACCAGCTGCCCCGGACGAGGGAATGTCCGTCTCAACTGGGGCTTGCAAGAAATCTTCAAATGAGTCTACAATCGCTGCAATCTGTTCTGCATACGCATATGTAATGACCTTACATGCCTCGAGAATCTCGCGAGGGACGTCACTGCTGTTGATCCCGCGAAGTGTTGGTAGACTGAAACTCAGAATATGATCTGCCTCCTCCACCGTGACGGCATCATTGTCGGGTCCAGCAGTGACCTCACTGTGATAATCAACGTCGTTCATGTCCTGCTCAAGTTCCGTGGGTTCTGCCGGCAACATCAAAGAGACTGCTCCCATCCCTTCCTGAATCTCTTTGACTGATGCATCTTGGCCATCCTTTTGGCCAATGCAAATATGGTCCCATTCATTAGACTCGTCGGACTCGTAACCAGGTGACGATGGAGTGGATATGGGGCCGCTGGGGCGCTCTGGTGAGAAGTGAAAGCCAGATAGTCGTGATAGTGACCTTGGAGTAGCGGGCGGTGACTTTCCCCGCGAAGAAACCCCGTACATAAAAGAATTGTCTTCGAGAACAACAGCAGAGTCGATTGAGGTGGATTGACGATGTTGCATGGCTGCTGAATCAGGTGTAGAGGACGGAGTAGGTGGAAGGCGGCCCATCTTCTTCAGGTTCCAAGGCACCCAGGCGTCTACTGTGGCATGACGTTGATAATGGACGGCAGTTCCCTCTTTCAGCGCATCCTCGTTGTCGAAATCCATTTCAATTGTAGGTGCTACAGGCCCGGAGTAGCGGTGAGTTGGACAAACGAATGGAAAATGACTGTGGCATGCACGGCATCATGCAGAATGTCAGGTAGTGGGACAAATCTCTGGGACAAGATTGGCAGAAAGTGTGGGAATGACAATTTCTTTGCATGGAAATCCCGAGAGACGAGGTCTCCCGCGATGCTGGAGTCTGCCTGTAGCAAGGCACCCAGGGCAGGGTGCCTCTTTGGGATGAACGGGTGATGATTGGCTCATGACACCTATGGTCAGCAGGTTGATGTTTCGCGCCCTTACAACTTGGTGTGTGTTACTGTTCGAAACGACTCCAACCCATCCATGATGACCACCACAAGACTAACTAACCGTCATCATCATCTCAGGTCGAGACATTCTACAGCAAGAGTCTAGTCACGCCCGCCTTGCCCAGTGATGTTTTGCAAAATGTTGCGAATTACTCGGTCCAAAAAGCCATGTCCAACAACCGCAACTGGTTCATCATCATCGATCTATATGGGGGTGCCAACTCGGCCATCACAAAGGTGCCCAGCAACGAAACGGCCTATGCGTTTTGCGATCCCAACAATCACCTCTTTCTTTACGAGTTTTACGACCGTGTAAACTTTGGCTCCTACCCATCAAATAGGTTTGAATTCTTGGACGGCTGGGTCAAGAGTTTCACCGATGGGCTCACCAGAGACCAATGGGGAATGTACATCAACTACGCCGACCCGACTATGAATCGAACCACGGCGCAGGATGTCTACTACAGAAAGAACCTGCCGAAGCTGAGAGGGCTAAAGACCGAGCTTGATCCCACCGAGCTCTTTTACTACCCACAGGCTATTTAGCCCATTTGATTGTGGGACAATCAGGGCCGGCGTGCAGCACAATGAAACGAGGGTCTCGGATGTGTCACGAGGTATTTTAGAGATTTATACAAGGGAGTTGAACAGGAATAATAGGTACCAGAGAAAGCTGGCACACCACCAAGCGAGAGAGAAGCAGAGTAGTAGTATCAGCCTTTGTTTTATTATCCGGAACAGAACAGGTCAAAGCTCTTGTCGAGTGAGTAGTACTTTGGTCTCTGATGCTCTGCGTAGTAGTAGTAATAGTAGACCATGCTGCCTGAAGCGGCCTCCTGTCCACTTCAGCACCGGCCTCGTGTTCAGACACCTTGAGTCTCAAAAAGCGCTGCTGACCAGAAACTCCCTTGTCATAAACCCACTTGTTTGATCCGTCTTGTTCAACGTGGTTGTATCCGTACTCTACTCCGAATTCAAAGAGAGCACCCAACCCCTCCATTGCGTACAGCACCGTCAGGGGGTCGAATGACGGACGAGGTGTTGCGTAGCCGTAGTAGACATACGCGGCCTTGACCGGGTCATCCCGCGGGCCTTGGTTGATCAGACGAAGGCCAGACGTCACGTTTTGCCCCATCTCGAACCCGGAAAAGGTGATTGGGCTGCCCTTCCAGGTGTTGACAACATGGGCGGTAATAGATGGGTTGCCCTGGCACGCAATGTTTTGGTTAGTAGTGTGCTTCTCTCTCTCTCTCTCTGCTTGCCCCCAGACTACCTACCTACCCGCAGTGGCCAGGGGTAGGGTAGGAGACAAATAACTAAAAAAGGCCATGTGGCTGGCTTTGGTAACTCACACCCCAAAAGTTGTATTCGTAGCCGGAGGGATATTCACCACCCATGATTACCAGTTCCGAGACCTTGGCGGCGATAAGATCGGGACCTGAAAGCGGGGAGTAGATATCTGACGAGGAATTAAGAAGCCCAGACAACTAGTTGCGTTCGACAGCACGCCAATGATAGTTAGCGATCTGAACAAGGTGGAAGCATGGCAGATGAAGCCAAAAGTAGTAGAGCGGTAAGGTAGGTAGGGGTGGTGGGGGGGCAAATATATTCAAACATTATCAAAGAATCCAATGGAAACGATGGTGACGCTTTGATCGGGGGCTTCGGAGAGGACTTTTCGATACAGCGCGACTGGGTCCCAGGCGTCCTCGGCACGGCCCCAGGGCAACGAACCCCCAGACCAGTGATAGGCCACTTTGCTTGTGTATTCGCCTTATTCAAAAACCAAGAATCGAAGAAGGTGACATTGGTCAACAGACGCCGGATCCCGATGGGTGTGTCATGACCATAATGGGCCAGAATGGCAGATGCTGCCAGGGCCGAGTAGGTGGAGGGGAAATTGATATTGACGGCGAGGAGGTCAACTGAAGATGATGTGGCTGCGAGCAGTAGGGCCCCGGCGTCGCTGAAGAAGGCAAGTAATTGCGCAATGAGTTAGGAGAGAAGGAAATGAGGCACAATTCTGAGGTAGATCGACTCACTCAACGTCACTGAATAAACCAGTGTCTATGATGAGACGTTTTACTTTTGTTGGAGAGGCGGCGTGTGCAGCATGTATTATGCCGGTGAAAGCCAGGAGGAGAACGAGGCGATGAATCATAATGTTCGATGTTGTTGTTATGATGTCGTGAGATGTTGGCAAATGATGTTTGAGAGTGACATCAAGGTCGTGGCTTGTAATGTTGGTGTAGGGTGTTACTTATGGCCAATAGCATGGCGGGGTTGGGCACCTTTGCCCCTACCATCTTCGCAACATATATACACTCAGGGTTCCACGAAAGCAGTTGGCGGAAAACATAGCGGCTGGCACCCTAGCTGGATAAGGGTATATAATATATATACATACAAACTTGCGTTCGACGCAGGCCAGAGGTGGCTGCCCAAAACGAGATCCCTCTCTCCAGTGGCATTGAGCCCCCCCTAACACACGCGTTTCCTTTGTCACGTCACGCATTGGTTGATTGTACTTGACTTATCCTTGCAGCGTCGTGCTCCAAGAAAACGCCGGTCAACTGCTTGCCCAAAAAAGTTAACTAAGGCAATTCTAAGCCAGTGATACACAATTAGCTAGAGCTTACGGTTTCGAAGTGGCACCTATGACATATAGATTTGTTCCCCCACTCCTTATATATCAGAGAGCCCCAGTGACTCCAAAGAGAGGGGGTAGATCGTGATCGGAGGCTATAAATAACTCCGCTACGTCAAATGAACCTAGCCGAATAGGCAGCGCCACCTACACTAACGTATATTATAAGCGAGTCGTACATATAAGCGAGTCGTACAGTCTCCACCACCCTACAACAACTATCCTCAATTATACCGCAACAATATTAGGAAGCAACTACAATTACATCAGAAACGGCTGAATCAGATGATTCCCCAGCCTCCTAGTAAGTGCGCGCGTTATGGCCAGGCTTACCGCACACACCACAGCACCGAACCGTCGTACGAGCCCCCCTTACACTACCGCTATCCGGCTATATTTCTTCTATTACTTCCCCACCCACGGCCTTCTAGTTTAGTAGATCCTATATATCTTATATAGTAAGTGATCCTTCGAGTTATATATATATTTTTTTAATTTTCCGGTATTTACTTAATACTTTATTAACCTTATAGAGCGAAGAGACCTCTATTTGTAAAAGGGTTATTTAGTATATTATAATTATCGTACTTTTAATAAATTAATTTATAGTATTTAATATTAAAGTCGCAGAATTATTTTAATAATTAATAATATGAATTTTAATAAATATTAAATATAAATTAATTTGTTAAAGGTTTTATAATATTTAAAATATTTAAAAAAGTATTGTATTTAGCCTTAAAAATAAAAATATTAATATATAAAGCTTTATATTTAATTTAAAAAGTATCCTTTTTAAATTATATAATATAAAATTAATATTTATAAAATTATTTTATATATTTTTCTTTATTATAAAAATAAAAAAGGTTTTACGGAAAGTATAAAGAAATTTAAATTTATTTATATAATTAATATATATATTAGTTTGGGGTGCGGCTATAGGCCTGAGAGTATAAGTAAGGAAGCGGGGCTCTTAGAGGACTCAGGGGTTTAGGGGTTATGTATATAAGCGGTCTGCTTCGGACATTCTATTTTAGACAGGACATCGACTTTTATTCTTTTCTTCGTATTTTATGCTTTACACGCGGGCAGGCAATTCTGGCCCTCTGATTAGGCCAATCCGGTACTTATTATATAGCCTGCGAGCCCATAGTATTTTTTCTTTATCCTACGTGAAGTGCGGCCTACGAGCGAGTTACTATTACGTAAGTATATTTATTCTGAGACTTATTAAGGGTATATTTATAGTATTATAATTATTTTATATATTTTCTTATTATTTTAAATGGAGATCGTGCCCGGGTTAAGTAAAGCTTAGGGTCTAAATTAGACTTATAAGCCTTAGGTACTAAAGGAAGTGTAAAGCTACGAACGATAATAAATATTAATAATTTTACTAAACCCCGCGAGGTTTAACGGAAACGATTCTTTTCCGTTTAATCGGATAAAACTTTTTTATTATCGATTAAACTTTAAACTTTTTACCCGCGAGTAGAGAGTTAAATATATAGTTCGGATAGGACCGGGAAATAAATTAAAAATATTAATTAAAATTAATTCGTTAATAAACTTTATTTCCGTATTAATTATTAAAGTCCTTTCTTATTTTTAGTTAGGAAAAATCCTTTTAATATATTATTTAGCGATAGTAAATAATTATAGGGATTTCCGGATTAATTTAATTTAGGATATCGGGAATTTAAAAGTAAAGAAACGAAAATATTTTCCCTTTAATCTAAATAAATATAATTTATATTTATATATTAGAATTATAAAGGATAACCGTTTTTATATTTCTAATAATATATATAAAGAAAAAACTATATTATTAATATAAACGTAATAATAATTATTAAATATTAATATATTTAATAATATTTTACCTATTGCTTCGATTAGCTTTTCCGGTAATAACTAGGGGTATTAAGCTCTACGGCTCGTTCCGTAATAGAAATAGCTATTCCGGCGGTTAGATTCCCGGAATTATTATTATTTATCCTTTCCCCGATTACGAACCGCGCTTACCCTAAAAATATTAAAACCCCTCGCTCCTTTTCTAATTAAAATAGCCCGATTATAAAACTTAACGCTCCTAACGTACTAAGTAAACCTTATATTTACTTAAATCCTATTACTTAAAATTATATTACGCCTCTTACTCGGTATACCGGATATTCCGCTCTTTTTCCTAGATTCGCGTATTAATTTTAATAATCCGGATATTTATATCCTATAGAAGTTTACCCTAATTATTATTACTTTTAAAGGTCCCTTACGTTTAATTATTTAACCCCTTATTTTATAATATTTATATATTTTCTTTAACGTAAATTCTTTAATCTAAAAAAAATCGGTTTTAAAAGTAATTTTAAAAAGAAATACTTTATAAAATATCTAAAGCGTTTCGAAAATATTTATAAAAAATATTATATTATAAAATTTACTTTTCGCGTTTATAAGTTTAAATTTTAATATAATTTCGATATAAAAAAATAAATTAACGAATATATAGACCTACTTATATTTACCGATACTTAACCTATCCTAATTATCCGCTTTAAACGCCTCTTTAAAATCTATAACCCCCGATAAAATAAAGATATTTATAGGGAATTAAATAACTTTTATATTAAAATTATTTTTAAAAATATAAATAAGTTAAGGAAAATTATTTTTAATTATTTTAAATTACTCTCTCGAGTACCGATTAGGGAAAAAAAAGTAGTAAGAGCTAAGGTTATTAACTACTTTTAAATAAAATTTTCCGAATTAATAAAAATAACCCTTATTAACTAAAGAAAATCCGAATATCGTTTAAAATCTATAAATTTTATTACTTAAAACAATTAAATTAATAATATAATTAAAAATAAATATAATATAAAAAAAAAAATTTATAAAAAAAATAAATTAATTATTATACCTTCCCCTATTATCTTTAATTAAATAGCCGAGGTACTCGATTAATATATAGCGGTTAACGCTATAGTAAATAAAGAAATAATATTATAATATTTAAGGGCAAATATTTATAATAATTTCTTTATACCGGGAAATAATAAATTTAAAATAATAAGGATTTACGTTTAATATTTAAAAAATTAAATACTTTACTTTTTAGATTTTAATATTAATTTTAATAAGGAAATAAATTTATTTTTTAATACTTTCCCTATTATTAATATTAAAACTTAATTCAGAAAATTAAAAAGGTAATACCGCGATAGTCCTCTTTTATTAAAAAAATATTTTTAATATAATAAAATTAATTATTATATTAAATCGACGGAATATTTAAAGAAAAAGTATAATAAAGTATAAGGACTATACTATATTAAAAGAAATAAAATATATATTAATAAAAAAAAGTGGCCGGAAAATAAAAAAGTATAGTTTAATTAAAAGGATATAAGGAAAGCGTAACGTAAAAGAAAGATTAGCGACTTAATTCGTACTATATTTTTATTAAAACTAAAATTAAAT